GGAAGATGTTCCAGCAGCTCGCGCAAAAAACTAATAAGTTGTTTCAACAAAATGAGACAAATTATCGTAAACAACAGGCATCTATTAGGATGTTGGAGACTTTTGTTGGTCAGTTGGCATTTAAATTGTCAGAAGCGATCTGTATTGGTAAAAATAAAATGTCGATGGTTGAGCGGTGATACATACCCTAAGGAATGGTAGGGAGAAACAACCTGGCATGGTGTTATCAACGTCTGAACAAAATAACCACCTACAATTGAAATGGAAAAACTAAATAAAGTATATATAAAACTAATCAAAATGTGTGTTTTCTTTTATATGTGAGTGTGTAAGCAGTGAAAATATCAAAAAAGCTTTGTGCTTTTTGGCTAAGGCTTGGACACCTACTGGATTCTAGATTTCTAGGGAGGATGATTAGTCTAGTTGAAGTTTGGAAGTTGATAACACTCAAATTTAGGGAAAATTATCATATATTGAGATAGCTAATTTTATTGGATAAGCCCAACCAAACATGAGTAGGAAATGAAATATTGTTGTGAAAAAATCTTTGAATAAACATCCTGGGGAGAGATTGAACAATAAGTTTGGGGTGCAAACCATAGAGAGAGAGAGAGAGAGAGAGAGAGAGAGAGAGAACATTGACCACTGAGGGTCACGATAAAACCAACCTAAAAGTGTATAGTGATTTAATTGGCTATGAACACATACATGATCGAGCTTTGGATGAATAAAAATGTATTTTATTAGCATAATGCAAAACTGTTTTATGATTTGTTCAAATAGTTTAAAAAACGTGAGACAAGACGATAATTTATCTAATGTATTGATTTTTATTTTGTTTGCTTGTGTATTAAGTAGATAATCTTGCTCAGAAAGAATAAGAGTTTACGTTTGGATTATTCTATTCTATTAGACTTGATAAATTATAGGTAACTGAACATATTTCTACATAACTTTGTGTAATTTTGATAATGGATTAATAGTAGAAAACTCACCTAAAAACGTTTTCAATTGTGATATATCCCCTTACCTATTGAAAATCGTAGAAAATTTCCCTTTTTTGAAACATTTTGTGCGAAAAAACTCCTATCTTCCAATTCCGTTAATTTAACCATTAAAAATAGTAAAAATTGCAAAAATTAAAAATGAATAGTTACAGTTGTGATCCTAAACTTTTTTATTTTGCAAATTACACCAAAATCTTTTATTTGTACCACCCATATTCCCCAACCTTTAAAACTTATCCCCCACCCCACTCCCCGCCCACCCCAAACCAAACAAAAAACCTATAAAATTCTTCCCCCATTTCTACTCCTCTCTCAAACACCCTCATATTACCCATGCCCAACCCAAAATCAACTGTTTCTTCCACTTTCAATTCAAACCTTTTTCCTCCATCAAAGATTTGAACAATGCCCACCAAGAAGAAGAAGGACAAGAAGAAGATGAACAATCACAATCATTAATTCTCAAGGAAGAAGCGCCAAAAATATGAAGAGAAAATTTTCAATTCTTCACCGGCTAAAGACTCCATCCTTCGTTTATTCATTGATTGCGGTTGTCTCCCTTCTATTGTCCAGTGGGGCCCACAATACATTTTTAATATATTTGTTAGGTGAACAAGGTCATGTTGTTGGAGGAAATGTTGTGGGTTCTTTGGTTTCTTCAGGACCGGTTCTTATCATTGTGGCCTTGTTCACTAATGTGCCCTTTGAAGAAAACGATGTGGTCTAGATGCAGCCACCACAGCCGTCTAGTGGTGGTGGAGGAGGTGTTGGCAACCAATTTCCTAATCCATCTTCAAGGCTTCCTTTCTTGAATTTGCCAATGAATATGCCTAATAGACAGCTGCCAATGAATCAGAAAAAAATGTCAGATAATCTATAGATTATTTTCCATTTTATACATTGAGTTCTTCATTGTTTTAAAAATATTTTGGGGTTCGGAATTTCGGACTGATTTTTCTTTATTGCACCTTGTTGAATGGAGCCAATTTTTTCTACTAAAACTAGAAGTCCATCTTTGGCATAAAGAATAATAAAATACATAAAACTAGGGTGGGATGAGATGGAAAATAAAGTTTTAAAAATTGGGATGGTAGGTGGCACATATAAAAAAATTGGATTTCATTTGAAAAAAAAAAGTTTGGATACTAAAATTGCAATTATTTCTTTTTAATTTTGGCATTTTTTACTGTTTTTAACAGCAAATCTGACGGAAGTTGACGGCAAGGGGTTTTTCGCACAAAATGTTCAAATGGGAAGGTTTTCATTATTTCTAATAGGTATGGGGTATATCATAATTGGAAACATTTTTAGAGGGATTTTCTACTATTAATCATTTTGATAATTGTAGACAAACTCGAACTTGGATCCAATTAGCGTGGAAATGGGTGATTTTTAGTAATTTGGAGTTAGTTCAAAGGAATTAGAGACTAATCGGGTTACATGTGGTAGAGGTGGCAATGGGCCGAGCCGGCTCAGGCCATACGCACACGAGCTCCGCTCGTGCTCGTCATGAGCCGAGCTCGTGGCTCGTTTATAAAGAGCCGAGCTTCTGCTCTGTTCTTTACCTGTGAGCTCGTGGCTCATGTGCTGAGCCGAGTTTTTGCTCGCAAGCTCGTTATTATTATTAATATTTTTTAAAGGTAAACCTTTTAAAAAAAACCCTTCACATTGGACGAGAGCTCGTGTGCGAGCTCGTTGGCTCGCCCATGAGCGCTTGTTTTTTGACTCGGCTAGGCTCGGTTCGCCTAGCGAGCCATCCCGCTTGGCTCGAGATCGGGCTCGTCTTTTGACGAGTCGAGTGGTCGAGCCGCTCGACCCGTTTGCTACATCTACATGTGAGTGATAACAAGTATTGAGAAATCGTAAGAAAATAACAAATTTCGGGTGAAATTTAACTTTTGAAAAGTCTGGGACTATATTGCACATTTTAGGCATTTGAGATGTACAAATTTCGAATGATTGTAAAGTTTTGGGGATCAACATGGAAGATTTTAGAAGTTTCGAAAATTGAAGATTAAGATTAAAAAGGATTAAAATCAGATGGAAAGTTGGAAAAGGAATCAAGTTCGCACGAAAAATTGCAAAGGGGACTAAATCGAACAAACTGGATATTGAGGGTTGACCTCAATTTGGGCTAGTTTTTGCTTTTTTTGTTTACTTTTCTTGATCCATTTTGACTCATTTTTAAGTACTACCACCAAAATTTGTCCATCCCTATAAATAGACCTCCTATAGTGACTAAAAAGAGGTTTACACCATAGAAAATTAGAGAGAAAGGAGAGAAATTATGGAAGCCAGGGTTCCAAATTCTTAGCGTGAGGAAGGTGATTCTTGGTGCAAGAGAATCAACTTTTCTTAGTTTTTCCTTCAAAATTTGGTTCTTTATTCAATTCTTTTCTTGTATTCTTCTTTTCTAATCATATATAGCTGAATTCAAAGTTGAGACGAACTATGTAACCTAATTGTGAATGTTTAATTTATATTCTGAAGATTTTTTAATTTAATTTTTTTCATGTAGAATTTTACTTCTATTCTTTATTGCCTTCGAAATAATTGACCACTATTTCATTTAATTTTAAATTTGTAACAAAACGAAAGACAAATTCGGTAATTGGATAAAAGGCGGGCATATATTTTTATGGTTAATTAGCAAAAAACGTCCCTAACGTTTACACTCATTGCTAAAATAGTCCTTATCGTTTTAAATTTGACATTTGCACTTTTATTTCAAACCTTTGTTGTAGAATTGGTCCTTCTGTTAAATTCCATTAACGGAGGAATTTTGGTTTTGAATTTTTTTTTATTTTTTGTCTCAATTTTGCGGGATTATTATGGAAAGTCAAACGAAGTCAAAACATTGCATTTTTAATACAATTTCGAAGTGCGCATGACCTAGTTTCTCACATCCCTAACTGCGTGCGAAAGGCCAACCATAGCGAAAGTTACCAATCGTCAAAGTAGTCCGTTTCAAAATATATAAACGATTTTTCTTATTTTTCGTCTCTATTTTGCGGGATTATTACGAGAAGTCAAACGAAAATGAAATATTACATTTTTAATATCATTTCGAAGTACTCATGACCTAATTTCTTCCATCCCTAACGACGTGCGAAACGGCGAATCGTAACGAAAGTTACCACTCGTCGAAGCAAGCCGTTCCAAAAATGTAAAATTTTTATTGCACATTTTTTAAAATTCAAAGTTGTTTATTGCACATTTTTTAATTGTTTTCTTAGATTTAAAATGTTTAAGATAATTATTAAAATCGATATTAATTATCTTTACTCAAACAGAAGTCGGGAATAATTTATCTAAGGGTAATGCTACATGTATACACACTTTTACACAATCTTTTACACCTCTCTCACATGGAGGGGGGTCCACGATTATTTTATTATGTGTGGGCCCTCATCCATGTGAGAGAGGTTTAAAAGATTGTGTACACTTAGCATTATTCTTTATCTAATATTTAGATAGATAGTCCCTCGTTAAAAAGATACTTAGAACTCTAAAATTCACTTTATTATTTGTCAAACCAAATCACACAATAACATGCTTGAATGATACCTACATATAAGTACACGTAACACAATCACGTACAAAGAAAGTAGTCCAATCAATCTAATAGCGACCAAACTCAAAAACTCATTCATATTCACCAATTCCATTTCCTTGAATTCGAATTTCTCATTTTAAAAAATCAATATTTCTAACAAAATCACATTTTTAATGTCAACATATACTGCTGTCAAGGCCAACTACACGTGAGAAATGTCTTTATTATTGAGGTGAAAAATAAGGGTTAACCATCAAATTTTATCTAAAAAATGAAAATCGAAATAGGTAGTGAAAAGAGCATTTTATTAAACTCTTCAAAAATCAGGAGTAAATAACTCCCAAAACTTGAGGAAAATAAAAAGGCCTGATATTCTGATCACATAATATTATCAACATTGGTGCATCATCTTATCATCGTACGCCATGCACATGCTATCACTGCAAAGTGAACCACGCCAATATATCTCTAGCCACGCGCCTGCGCGTGATTTTCACTCGCTCACATGGCACCACCGGCGACCGACACAGGGGGCAATTAAAGTTAAGATGGTGAAGCCAGCCGTCGAAGCACTCTTTATGGAAAACATGGAGGCACGCTAACTTGCGCACGATGTCACCTTCACCCAGACGGTTCAGGCACACCACACAATCCGAACTGGCCCCATCACCGGATTTATTTGTATAAGAGAAAACCCGGTTCAGATTTAATTGCTCCAGCATGACAACAAGATCAGCCAGGCCGAATTGAACAACATCGTGAAGAGGATGGTCGAAATCAGAATGATTCGAGTCGAACCGGTGTGAGAAGAGGCGCAAGATAGTGAAGAAAACGGAGTGGAGATACCCTACGCTTTTTCCGATGAGGACTACCGTAAATATAAGGGTTGATTCCGATGATATATCGGAAAGCTGACTCTGTAAACCCATTTGTTTCTTTGTGACAGAATTAAATTTTATGCAAGAAATTGGGGTTTCTTGTGTGCGTATATATATAGAGAAGTAATGTGCGTGTGAATGGAGATTATCAATGTGGTCAAGAAGCCCATGTGTGGTGGGTCCGATCTAGTTTTAGTTTTCGTTTTCTTTATCCTTTACGCGTTGGTGTTTACTGTTTAGAAAATGTCGACAGTCGTTGATTGGGTAAAAAAATTGTTAAAAATTTAAATGTTCAATGATATATTTTCATGTAATAAAATGTAAATAATAATGTACATGTAACATGATTGTTGGTGTTCTAAACGTGTCTCTATAATTTTGACTTTATTACTACCTTGGACAAATAGCAAATACTAGGAAGACACTACATTATCCTACAATAACATTTTTATGGAAATTTTTTGTAAAAGAATATATATAAATTTGGAGGGCAACTAAGGTAATAACAAACTTGGCATATAATAGTATATGAGCTTTTTTCAAATTTTATATACTATCTGATTTAACGCGTAAAGATTTTAGTGATAGAACAGCTAAAATGGCAATGAAATAGACATAATAAATCTCAGTTTTTAAATAATATAAGATATAGATGTTGCATGATTTGATTTGATCCAATTTTTAAGAGCCAAAGTATCAGTAAGGATTTTACTGGGAAATTACCTTATTTTTTGTTTGAAAACTAATTTTTAAAAGTACTTCATATTTCAAAAGTACTTATAGAGAAAGTCACGTCGATCTAACTTTCTCTAAAAACTCTTCTAACTCGGAAGTACTTTAATAAAATTAACAAAGCGGATCCAAAAGCAGCTTTCGGATCTCAAAAGTCCATTTTGACTTTTTAAAAATCTTGTCAAACGAGCCTACATATTTTGTGTTTTTGCTTCTTGTTTTTTTTTCCTTCTCTTTAAACTACCAAAAGCCTTCCTCATTCTTCCAAGTTGCTCCAGATTCTGGTGACCCTTTTGAGTACAAGAAGGAACCACCACATCTTCTTGGTCTGCCAAGACAGCCTCAACCTCCTGTTCACATGACTTTGCCATCCATGCAAAACGACTCCATTATCGGGATGAAAAGTATAAAACGTACAGGTAATGATCGTAACGCTATGTTGTCTTTGACAAAATCCAAACGTGGTGATATATTCGAGTCTATTTATTTTTGACGAATCATTTATTATATTTACTGGGTATTAGGCAATTAAGCCCTATTTAATACAAATTTAGATTTTAATTTAATTTAAAGTCGACAATTAATTTTAACCACACATTTCATCAACTTTAATCAAAATCTACTAAAAATTAGATTTTAATCCATACCAAACAGAGACTAAGTGTTTCAAGATTTTTGCACTAACCTCTCAATGCTATGTAATCCATATAATTTTGAAACGGCCTGCTTCGACGAGTGGTAACTTTTGCTACGGTTGGCTGTTTCGCACGTCGTTAGGGATGGGATGAGTTGTAACTTTCGCTACGGTTGGCCATTTCGCATGCCGTTCAGGATGAGAGAAATTAGGTCATGAGCACTTCGAAATGGTATTAAAAATGTAATATTTCGACTTCGTTTGGCTTCCCGTAATAATCCCGCAAAATGGAGACAGTTTAGGAAATAACACTTACAAACTCAATTTGGCCAGTGTCGCTAATTACATCGTGCTTTATAAACGATTTTTCTTATTTTTTGTCTCCATTTTACGGGATTATTACAGGAAGTTAAACGAAGTCGAAATATTACGTTCCGCTATATGAAATACAATTGTATTTTGTAATTTTACAAATTTGAGATTTAACAGGTTTAAAATAACTATAGGCAATACACTGGATTAGAAAATTAATTGATATTATTCTTATTTGTTATTAAAGTAAAACTATTTAAATATTACTAATGATGATAATAATAATAATAATAATACAATCAATTTAGTGGTTTACATTATAGTAATTGTATATCAGCACAATAATAAATCAATTTTGTTTTATCAAACACTGATTTTGAAACTCACACTATTTTGGAACAAAAATTTACCAAACACATAACTGATTCTTTCGACATTTCATTATTTCTCCCGTACAACAGAAGCTACTTCTTTAAATTATAATTTTGTGGAACGCTCAAGGTGACACCTAATATGAGCCACAAAGGTCGTAAGCCAAAGAGAAGAAAAACTCTCGTAAGGTCGTGCGTGTGGACTCGAAACATCACTTCTTCTCTACCTTTTGAAGTAACACTATTCAACGATAGTCGTGCTATAAATCCTTCCTTGTTTGATTCTATTTTCTGAATTTTTAGTCTTTTAAAGTTTCAATAAGAATCTCATATTCAAATAATTGTACAACAACCATCTGACTAAAAGATTTGCCAAGATCCTCGACAACTAATTTATAATAATTTGGATAAAAAGGAATAGGAATAGTTTGCACTTCGCCGAACCACATATTTTATGGCCTAAAAAATCGTCATGTTGATGAAAAATTAATTAAAAATCTCAATTTGATCCACTAATGCCAGCTATAAAAGTGCTTCTTTTTTTTTTCCATGTTATCTTCCACATAAACATCATTTCCAATTGTTAAACTGATGTGGCTAACCAAGCTGAATCACTCATCAGCAACATCAATCCCAGTCACCTGGCAGCTGGAATGATGAATCTTCAGTAGCATCTTTGTTACGGTTAAAATGGTGAAATGCTAGCACTCAATCTGTTGCAAGATATTCCTAGACAAGGTCCACATTTTTAGGAACAAATTAACCACTGTCTCTTCTAGATTATTCCACCATTGTATTATTTAAACTTATCAAACTTTGTAAATTATATAGTTGAAATACAATTGTTATCTTCTTGAATTATAACTTGGTATCAGAGCACTAAACTATGGCAGACGCCGACAATACCAATACCCCCCAAAATGTTGATCCACTCGCTGCACCAGCTTCAGCCTCTAGCAGCACAGCCACACCTCTGATAGGAAATAGCAGCTTCTCTCCTTTTGGAGTCAATCTCACTCAAGTTGTTTCAGTCAAGTTGGACAAAAACAATTTTCTGCTATGGAAAAATATGATTTTACCTATCATACGAGGTCACAATCTTGAGGAGTACATCTCAGGGACAAAGGCGTGTCCCCAAGAATTCATTGG